AAAAATATTTACGAACAGCTTAATGTTCTAAGCGTGGGATGTCTTCTCTCGAGTGTTCTCTGGTATGACTTCATGAATAAAAATATTTCCCTTCTTCCGTAACAACCATAGAACTCTCCCTCATCTTAAATTGAGTTTTAAACGAAGACTTATCATAGTGGATGTAAGGTTTGAAAATCGGGTGGTATCACGTGGGTGATATCCTCAGATATACCCCAGTTTTAAGAGGGAAAATATTTGTTAACGTGATGTGTTTAGACCAGTCACGAGCGAGTAAAAATATTCTATGGATCATAATCGACGATATACCTTAAGTAGAATTCCCCAATTTCAAGCTCTACATTTATGACGATAAGTCTTCGTTCAGTATAATTGATTGAAGGTGAGAGAGCGTTCTGTGGTTGTTAAGAAAGAGGGGACATGCTTGTTTGTTCATAAAATTGTACCAGCACTGAAAAGTTAAAAACTCACGCAGTGAATGGTTAGCTGTACCGATAAACATTTTTTTCAACTAATTTGCAAAAAACATTCGAAGGATGATAAACGAAATAGCCTCCATTTGGCCCGGAAATATGCCCGTTCTTTGGAGGACGGGATTAGCTGCGGCTAACCTTTAGAAGTTCAGGAAACTCGCCACCGGTATTCATGCAAATTACCATTTTGAAACCTGATAAATTCATTATTATCTGCTTGGCGCTTCTTATGGTCTGTTTTCGTATCAATTTTCCTCAATTTCCCATGGCGAAACTGTTCTCGTTAACATATTCCGTAAGCTAGCAGTAGACGTCTGTTTTATTCGCATATTCGAACACACTTAAGTTTCCAGAAGGTTCTAGGACAAGACTGAGCTTCACTATGGACTTGAAAGAGGAAAATTCAATCATTTATACCGGTAGGTCAACAGTTCTTTGCCGAAGACGTTGAAGACGGAAAGCAATCGGATACAACTGTAGCATCTGATGAACACACTTAATAACGACCCTTCAAAAACATAGAAGGCCGACACCGCAAAATTATCGCAAAGAAGTAAAATACTCACAGCAGAAGACTCAAGTCTACTTAACAGCTAGTGTGAAAGCTGACGTAAATCCTACTGTAGGAACAACGACAGTGTGCAATTGTTTAAGTTTGAGAATGCCCTTTTTTAGGTCAGCAATTGAAGGATGCTTATTCAGGCATTGTAATACGTTTTTTGCGTGACTCAACATTTTGTTAGGTTTAATTTCAACGGAAGTTTCGAGAAGGATTTGGAACCCTTTTTAAATTTAAACATTTCCAACTTTTTCCCATTGTTAATGTTGGAACACGAAATCTCCATGCTTGAACTGGATACTTAGCAACACTAAGATAAGAACGAGAATTGTCACCAAAATTTTATGAACATGAATACTACTTCAATGTCTTACTGCACCAGTAAGAGATTACTTACC